CTTGTGTCACAAGGGTCACGCGGCGAGAGTGCTGACTCAGGTCAACTGCCATCTTCTGGTGAAATATGACCACCAGCCTTGAAGGAGCAGGAGGCAGCAGGGGACAGCTGCGGGAACCGCTGTGCGGTGAAGGGAAAAATGCCGGCCGGCGGGGATGAGTGACAAGCTGAGCCAGTGGGGAGAAAAGGCTGCGAACCACTTGAAATTTGAAAACGGGCCGCAATTGGCCCCCGGGCCGGACTTTGGACATATCTGGTCTAGTCTCTCTGCAATAGCTCTCAACACTATACTTACCCTTGTCATGGTGCAGCACAGTAAGGTATTCTTTTCAGTGAACTACCCCAAGATGCTGCAATATGGTATGAGAGCCACTCAAGATCACATTTGTCCAATAAGCCTTTATCCATGCTGTCTCATATTTAATCTCATTTGCCATTCCTTTTGTGATCTTGATGCCCACAGACCTTATGTTCTGATCCCCTCCCCTACTTACAGCCTGCACAGAAAGAGCCAGCAGGCTGCCCCTCTAAGCTTGAAAACTCAACTTTGTAGAAGAGGCAAAGAAGGTACAGAAGGGAAAGGAGGCTATGTAGAGGCCAGGATCCTGTCTGTGGCTTTTGCAGCTCCCTTTCCTCCCTCTCCAAATTGTCCCAAATAGATGGCTGTTTCCACCATCCAGAGAAAACACAGAGTGAAAGACACGGAAAGGCAAAGATGCATATAAGCCTCCAAGTATGTGAGCTTAAGAGCACTGAGGATGCAACCTGTAAGACAGCACCCTTGGTCAGTCACCCAGTCTGAAAATATCCTTGACAGTTTTATATCCTCAATAGTTAGTGGTGTCATAATCAAACCTACTTACCTTACCATGTACCACTTCAGAATGTTAGAGGCAAATAGATGAGCTCCAATAGAGACTCTTATTATTTACATCCCTTCTTTGTGAAAAGTGTACTTAATTCTGTCTACTTCCAAACTTTAATTTATCAAAAATTGCCCATGCTTATCATATGACCATTAAGTGTTCCAACAAACCTTCCAGGAGGAACTTTGTCAAAAGCATTTCAAAAAAAAACAGCAAAATTTAGGTTAGATCACCCATATATATACTTTTGTTGAATCCCTTGAGGGCTTCTATGAAACTTTAAGAAAGAAATGTAGAATCTACAGTTATGATTATACCTTTGTAGAATCTGTGCTTATGTTTCCCTCAACCAAGTACAGGTCACTAATACATTTGCTCGAAGTATGTATTCGTAAGTCACAAAACTGATCTATGGGACAACAGAGCTCTTTACTTGATGTCATTTCCACACTAGATAATTTTTCTGGGATACTTAAATCACAATAAAATAGCAGCACAGGTTACACCGAAGCTCTCTTGGAAGCTTATTTTTATTCAGATTTGAATTTTCTATAATGTTTAAAACATTGTATCTAAAACAATAAAATATTGATAGTACTTACCCGGTAGTGAGCAAGCTGCAGGGCAAGTTGCACAAATGCATCTGGACTTGTTTTTGTTTTCTTCATTAATCCTTTCCCAAATGTATTGAAAGGAAATGAATGAAAATCCACATCATTTGCTAGAGGCTCTGCAACAGCCAAGGATCCCTCAATCACTTCTTGGCACTAAAAGAGTAGCAACATAAAACTAAGTGGAGGACAATTAAGTATATTGGTTCAGCAAGGCTATCCTGCATTTGAAATTTAGATTTTTTAAAGAATTACATAATTACCTTACATAAATGGAACTTTGTTGTGAAAGTAGCAAAAACACTAGCATGAGTCTTTTATGAAAATTTATATATGCTGGTTTGCTCTGAATACAACTTCTGGATATTCTGCATCGCAAAGCAACTGCTTCTAGTTTCTTGGCCCTCATTCCTGTCACATTTTATTAAACATTGCTGAGTTTAGATCTCAACATTGTTTTTGCTTTTCTTTGACAACTTGCTTTTTGACAACTGTCAATAGAAAGCAAAGAACACAAAAAGCCCATTTGGAGTGTCTTTCGGTCAACGTGCCCTCTGACAGCAGGTAGCCCTCCTAAACTGCCCAAGCATGGCAAACTATTTCTGCACCTGCAGAATTTACACCTCTGCAGCTGCAGCTAGAAATGTTTTTCTCAATATAAAGTGGAAGTATTTGGGCTTGTTACATGCACAAATTGCTTTGGCACTCTGAAGGAGCTGTCAAAATAGAAAGTGTGAAAGTCAGCTGTCAAGGTAGACTTCACAATCTCAGAAGAATAAAGTGTGGGGGCTGGCGGCTAAAGAAGGAAAAAACAGGGCAAGGCTAAATCACAACTGCAGGATGGGTAGCAGGTTACAGAGTCTCCACAGGAAATCTGAGGAGGAAGGAGGGGCATAACAACCTATGGTGAGCCTGATCATCTGTGGGATACACTGTGCGTTGTTTACACAGCAACCAATCCAATGTGGCTTATTGCCAGAGTGGGTTAGCATGATAAGCAAACATACCCAGGACAATGTGGATTTGGCTTAATTCTTTGTCAAAGCAGAGGAGAAATTACATCTGGGAGTTGTAGAGCTCCTGGGTAATGCTTTTCTTCAAATCTGCTTCCCATTGGTTGGAGTCAGAACACCCAAATTCTGGGCAAATACAGTCAAACAGAATATCCATGTATCCCAGTTGACTATACTTTATGTTACACAGCTTCCAGGTGTCCTGATTATGAACTAACAACTGATATGGAGGAATCCAGACCAGCCCTTGTGACAACTCGTTCCAATTTGTCTCGTCTTAGTTCTAGTTTCTGAATACCTCTCATGCACATATGCGTTATTCTCTTGCACATTCCAATAATGGAGACAATAACATGGAGGGTTAATGAGAAACCTATGTTCTGATAACTAAGAAGAGCTGTGTAGAATGATGTAAAACCTTTTGCACAACAAAATGTGGCAGTGAAGTACTGTACACTCACAGATCACTGATCATGTTTGTCAAGTTTGGAAAACCACATGTCGGGGATTACATGAGTAGAGCCAGCTGGAGCTGGGGGTCAGACTAGATGGTTCAGGAGGCTGCTTTTTTTCTGTTTCTATGTTTCTAAGTGCCATATCATAGTGTGCTTTTCTGAAAGTGTCATGAAAGTCTACTGCTCTGGACATGCCTGTTTAAGCACTAGTTAGACAGTAAGTCTCTTCACTGAAAAATGAACAGATGTCTAGGATAAAAGTTGCTAGACTGTATACAAATGGAGTTCCTTGTCTGACAGAAAGCTGATCCAGTGGAGTCTTTTCTCGGGGAATTGGGAAACTAGGGATTTCCCTTCCACTGTGCCCCCACCCATTTGTTCTGGAGAGTTTGGGACCCTTAAAAATAGCACAAGAGGTGGCACAAAGGGCTAGGAGACAATGAAGATCAGCTCCCTGTTCTTTAGATGACATTTCTACTGGATCAAAAAGCCTTCAATTTGTAGAGGAATATAAACTGGATATACAGTAACTCATAACACTTATTTGGAGGTGGCTATGTACTTACTTCTTCAGGGATTTCCCACTGCAGCCTGGTAGGCATAAGAATTCCTAAAGTGGCTTCTCCTTTGCAATGCCCATCTTCTGTATAACCCAGTTCAAGACAGTCAGAATGCATGACATTCTGGAAAAAAGTGAGGAAAAGGTTGATTATACTGTTACATCCAGTGTAAATCCAGAGTTGTACAACAGAGAAAGGCAGGAGGCTTGGAGTCTTGATCCCAGTCAATGAGTAGAGAGCGGAATCTGTCTCAGTGTCCCCTGACCACTAATTGTGGTCTCAATGCTAGCAAGGCTGTGATGGATCACCCTGGCATTGAGCCACTGTCTGATGGTGGTGGTGTCAACCTCAGTGGAGTATAAGGGGATGGTCTTGACATGGAGCCAGTCACAAGGCATCGCAAAGTTGGCTCTCGGAAGTATGTCAATCGCCTTGACACCAAAATCTGGGATGTTGGGTGGGCTGGTAACCTGAGAGGGTTGCCTCTCCATCTGATGTGTGAGCTGTGTCTTCCCTCAGTACTGGGGATCATGTTCAGTCAGAAGGTAATGTCTCTTGGATCCCCAGGACTGCAGGTCAACAGGGATTCTCACAGCACCTCCTCTTTTCTTTGGAGTGGCAGTGGTGGCCATCTTTTCAGGGAATTTGGCAGCCTTCCTGGCTGCATGGTCACTGGGTGAAGAACCCCACTGAGGTGAATGTGGGTTGATCAGGAGTAGCCTTGCAGTTGAGGTGGAGGGACAGTCTTGTCCTGGGCACTTGGGAGGAATCAGTGACCTGAAAGGCTTTCTTCCAAAGCTCAGCCTTCAGTTGGTTGGCCCAGTGTCTCCAGGTCTGCTTCTCACCCAGACAGAGAAGCCCATCAGAGGGAGGAAACTTCTACCACAGCTGGCACAATTCCAAAAAGTCTGCAAGAATATCATCGTGGTAGATGAAGAAGGTGGGAAAGAACAAAGGCACAAGCAACACAAGAAAGGACATGTGAAGCAATGGAAAGAAAGTGGGTGGGAAGATTTAAAGATTATTTTTAGGTAAAGCATGAAAAAAGGGTTCACAAAGAAGGAAGACAAGCGGAGATGAGACAGTTTTAGGAGGGAAAAACAAGAAAGAAGGAATGCTAGATAATCAGGTGAAGGAGAGGTGTACTTCCGAGTGTAGGCACAATGGTGGTCAAAGGGAATGGGTGGGAACCTTTCCCCACACTATCCTGAAACAGGAAATGGAAGAGCTCCTGCCCAATGGAACTCTTAGCTGTAGAAGCTTCCAGATGACAGGCTCTGTGCAGGTGCAAAGTCCATTTGTATGATGCACAGAGACCCCAAAGAAAAATAAACATAATTTTAATTAAGAATCAAATACAGGGAGGAAAAATGTATTGGCAAGCTCTTGTTAAAACTGGGTACTTCAACAAATTTATTTGTATTTTGAGCTTAACAATGCTAATCTTCTGAGTTGGTGCTGTGCTTGAGAGTGTCCTGTGGCACACAGAAGTGTACGACTGAATATGTGGTTGTGGGATCACACAGAGGGTTGGGCATATAGTTTGGGCTGGGCCACAGGTTAAATTTGGATTATACACCAAATGACTTATTCCTTTATGTAGATTTTGTGTATTTAAGGACAAACGGCAATAGCCTGAACAGGATCCACTACACAAAACACTTGTCTAGAAGTGTCACAAATTACAATGGTACTGGTAGAGTGGTAATCACAGAAATACTCCAGTTCTTGGATACCACCTTGCTTGTCACATCTGCCTTAAGCAGGTCCTTTCACCTTTTGGCATGACTAAACCCGAGCAAGACTATATACATCATGATTACACACAAACCACATGATTGTTGCAAATCTACCACCTACTTTGCATCTCTTGATTTAGTTTAAAAATTGTTTTCATGCATGCAGTAGAAGGCAGTACACATTTATCAGCCTCCTACCTGTCAAGGGAGCATTACTTGCTGAAACCCGTATCAAAAAATATTCAACATGAGTTAATGTATGTGTGACAAGTTTTTAAATTTTAACTCAAAGTGTCAGGCTTAATCCCTCCACTACATTGCATTTCCCAGAATCTCTTAGCTTTCCCATCACAACAGATCTTTACTGAACTATATAAGCTACTGTAAATCAAATTGGTAATCTTTCAGTAAAAAGTGGAGGTATAAGTTTGTTTATATATATATTCGTTTATATATTCTGGACAATGTAAGAATAAACACTTTACTACATTGATTGCTAACCTTATTCACTTACAGAACTTGCAATGTGTAATACCAAAGGTAAAGAAGCAGGAATTCCAAAGGTAAAGAAGCAGGAATTACCATTGATACTTTCAAAATTTTACCTACTAGCAGCAGTACCTTGATGACTATTCCCTACTTGTGCTGCAATTTTGCCTATTTCAAAAAACATCCTTATTTCAAAAAACAGAGAAATAGAGAGAGCGAGCAGTGATTATTTTATTAGTTTTGGAGAAAATAATAATAAAGCAAGGCAACAATCAAATTCACCTATCCAACTCTCCTAAAACAGCCCAGTTGGAAAGCTTGACATATTCGCACTCACCTCCCAAAGATGTCCAACAATGGGAGCATCTGCCCAAGAGTGTTCACTGTTCAGGCCCAATTTACCATTCCTGAACACTACAAGAGTGAATGATTTGTCAAACCACCTATAAAAGACAAACATTTCCAAAGATTTAAAAGGTTTCTTGTCAGATATAGTAATAATGATCTCAATTCTCTGGTGTCAATCTCATTACACAGCCAAATAAGCACCAGTGGCACAAAAACAGGAGGTATAAACAGACCTGGAATGTCCCCAAGGTTTGCAGAAGCACCCACACCCACCAAAAACAAAACCTTTACAAGGGAGAATTCCTTGGGTGGAAACCTGCCACCCCCTCAAAAGCAGTCCAGTAAGGACTCCTCATGTCCAGTAGGCATGCAGTGCTAAATGAACTTACAGCTGGGAATGGGAGAGGCTGGAATCCTGAATAGCCCCCACCCTCAGCAAATGGAACCCGTTTATTGCAGGTTCCATTTGCTTAGCATTTAAAAACAGCCACATTCTTCCACACATACCTGTAAGCTTAAAAGCTTGAGGATAATAAAGTAAAGAACAAGGGGCCAGGAGAAGCAGCTATATATTTATGGCAGCAAATCCAAAGTGAAGTGAGTAAAGCATGCAAGGTTGAAACTCTTATGAAATCAACCTTGTGAAACTCAATGTGTGCAATATTAAAGGTATTCACGGCCCTGTGAAATGGAGGTCTGCCACAAAAAACCCAATGTGAATGAAGTTAGTCACATGGGGAAAAAATCAAATGTTACACTTACGATTTTCTACACTACAGAATTAAGTAGGAATTCTTTCTCCCCAGCTCCTGAAGTCTCAGAATCCTCCCCAGTAAACACTGAGAAGCTGTGACAGTTAAGCATCTAGAAACTTACTCCTAAATATATCCAAGAGCATTTCACTGAAGCACAAAATGTGCCAGTCCAACAAGTATTACATAACGTAACATTCCGAAGTAGCCCAAAAAAAAAAAAAAAAAATCACACTACTAGTATGAGTCTTCAACCTGTCCTGGAGGGGGTCGTGCTCCCCCTGAAGGTCAGAGACTGTAGCTTGGGGGTACTCCTGGACCCAACACCATCACTTTAGTCTCAGGCGCATTCAGTGGCCAGAAGCGCCTTCTTTCAGCTACGAATAATTTACTAAATGAGGCCCTACCGGGAGAGGCAGAGCCTAGCCACAATCACACATGTTCTGGTAACCTCTTGACTGAACTATTGTAATGTGCTCTATGTGGGCATGACTGGACTGGTACAGAACAGGGTGGCAAGTGCTGGCATAAGCAGGACCGCACACCCATGTAACTCCTTCATTACATCTTCATTGGTGCCAGTTGAGCTCTAGGCCCAATTTAAGGTGCTTGTTTTAACATATAAAGCCCTAAATGGCTTGGCACCAGGATACCTGAAGGGCAGCCTCTTCCCATATGTACCTACCTATCCCCTAAGACTGGGTTTGAAGACACTTCTCAAAGAGCCATCCTCCAAGGAGATAAGGAAGATGGGTAATAGAAGAGAGGCCTTCTCAGCCCCACCTGTGGAATAGCCTCCCAAAAGCAGCTCACCTGGTGCACTCTTTACAATCTTTTTGAAGCCAGGCAAAAACAACTTTATTTTTAGGCATTTTAATAATTGTTTTAATCTTATAATTTTTAGTTATATATATTTGTTTTATAGTCTTTTATTATTCTGTGTTTTAATTTATTGTTTTATTGCTATAATGTGTTTTTTCCCGCTGTAATCCACTTAGAGGTCCTTTGGGCCAATATAGTTGGATATAAGTTTAATAATAAACAAATAAAATACTAAGAAAAACTATACATTAAGTGTTTGATTATCCTTTGGCAACATTTGTGACCACATCCTTTAAAATAAGTCACACTGTCCATAAACATGAATAGTGAGAAGTTACTTGTGCAAAGAGAAGTTACTTGTGCAAAAAAGACCTTCAGTTTCTGCAATGTACCTGTCATAGCATTTGCCATGCAGAAGTGACTTTGCATAAGCGTCCATTGATGCCACTGGATCTTCTTCCCTGTAACCCTGAGCAGTGTCATCCAAAGTCACAAAGAAAGCTGCCTTCTCAATAGCATCCAAAGACTGCTTGTTCTTTCCACGTGCAAAATAAGTCTGGCGAGCTTTAGCCCAAGGAACTCTGCCACAAGAATGTAAACAGAGGCATTATTGAAAGTCAGTTGAATGCAATCAGGTTTACAGTCACCCCCTTAAAAAGGATCTATTTTAAAATCAGATCTAAGACGATTTTTAATGAAGTGCAATTTTCGACAATTCCAGAAATACTGCATATGAAAAATGCAGCTTTGAGAGTTAAGAAACTCTTAAAATGAAGTATGCAAAAGCCAAGTTTATACAAACATTGACTGAAGCATATTTGGGCAACCCATGTGACAACCATGTAGCCCTTGGGAGTTTCTCTTGTGGTTCAACAGTATCTTAGCTGCCTCCCCAGTTCCTCTATGATTTTCTTCCCAGGGTGGAAACCATTTGCTCTGACCTTCCTTGCTGAAATCAATGTCCCAACACAGGTGCGCACACACAGAATAAACAGTCACAGTCAGAGGCCTCTGTGCAGGCCTTTTTTGTGCCTGTTTTGAAAGAAAAGCCCGTGTTCCTTTGACTACTGGGGGCAGAGAAAGGAATGCAGCAGAGGAGGAGAACCCAGTTGTATGCTCTGATGGACAGATGGCATGCAGATATAAGTATCAGAGAGGGGGACAGAGACCCACAAAATGGATAGGTAGAATAGTGGTGGATTAATGAATGAATTGAAAAGTTGGATATTTACTTTGAAGTTCCATTCCGAGTTAACACCCCCCACTGTCCAGCACATGCAGGAAACAGGTGACCAGTCTTTTTGCTTAGGTCCTAGCTTCTGTGGCCCTTCCCAGATAGTTCTTTTCTACGTGATTACGGAGCCAGGAAAACAAGGAAGAAAATGTACAGCTACCTGAAGAGACAGAACCACCTCACCTATTTCTTAAGTATCAGCTACTCCCTTCAGAAAACATAATGAGATTGTTCTGCCTGCCACCATGTGTGGTATGGAGGTTTCCTGTGTACTGAACTAGAAGGTTCTTCCACTGGATGCATATCAGGCTAATCACCTTCTAACTGCTCTACAACTAACAAAATGGGGGAATCTGAAAGATACTCATGTTAGAGCGTTTTATTTTTATAATGCTTCCCTTTAGAGGTGGGATTTGGTTCGAGGGAATCAGAAGCTGAATCACCAAAAGAATGAGAAGCAGGAACCTGTTCTTCCTGGATGTTTCAGGGTGTGTGGTTGTAACTACTCTTTTTGTTTTGATTGTTGTGAGAGCAGAGTGACAAAAGCTAAAACTTAGGTCACATATTCCTTGCCTGTTTTGAGCAGTTGGGATCTTAATGGTGGATGTGTCCTTGCACCAATAAAAACAATAGGGCCTGTGTATGAATAGAGTATAAATGCACATACGGGTGCATGTTCCATGCACACCCGAAGGGATGGATGTGTGTGTGGATGTGAAACCTTGTGGGACAGTTTTGTCTGTTCCTGCTCCCCAGCATACTAGCTTGAGAGCTTATCCCTAGGAAATGCAGTCTTCAACCTAGAAAAGCTGCATAGGAGGGGGCACTAAGGAAAAGCAGAATCAGCAAGAATTGCTTGCCCATCTTCTTTTGTCAGTGTGAAACCCCTATTGGCTCTTGGTTCCCTCTGTGAACAGAAGGTATCTTTCAGTTCAGAGCCATATTTGTAGCCGATCCACTTTGCATGGTGTACACATGTAAGAGCTGTTTCCAATATCACAACAACCTCAGTGCTGATGTCTTGCATTATCAGTTTGAGTCACAATGCTATATGGAGCTAACCAGAAGAACCTGCATACAGATGTCAGCCCAGTTCATCATACAATCAAGGAATAAAAGTACCAACGTACCTGAAGATATGTAACAGACTATATTGAAAACTTTAAGCAAAATAGTAGCTTGAGGACACAATTCTAAACAGATTTTTGAAAATGAAATTCTGCCCAAATGTTTTGCAGTAGTTTTAAAATGTTCATACCTGTCTCCTGCAGTCAGGGCAGCTAACTTCTCTTCGCCTGGCTGAGGCTCTGATTTGTCATCCAAAATCCACTGCATCTGCTGTTCGATTTCCCGGGGTTTCAGTGGTCTGCCATCATAGTACAGCCATACTTTGTAATAGCATCCCTTATGGAACACAACAACGTGTTTGCTGTCTTTTATATGCTGGATAGTGTCTAGAATTGCAACCCAAAGTTTGGAAATGAGCAACAGTTTCTGCAATGTAAAAATGTAAATATATGGAGTGCTCAGCTCCAAACTGCTTCCATTATTTCAATCATGCCATACCCATTTGTCTAAAGTTAACTGGTTTACAAAGACTTATAACTATATCCTATTCATTTGTACACATACAAGTAGTATTCTTCAGGCAAAAGTAGGTCACTATTTTAAAAATGGTGTGCTATATGCAGTTGCCCCTTTAATAACTTAGTGGTACTCCTGAGTTTACAATCTCCTGTGCACACAAACAAATGCATTTTACATGCCATATGCAATCTAATTAAACATAACTGTTGGAGCCTCAGCAGTTGCATGAGATGAGCTGCAATGCTGCCATCCAATTAAGTGCCAGAGACTGAGCTCAATAGAAGCTGTGAAAATTTTCATGTGAGCTGTTCAAAAGTTCATGAATATGCTTGTATTTAAATTCCTCACACTTTCATTCTTTAATTGTCACAAAAAGCATGTACTGGCTGAGAAGTTGTAAATTCTTCTCATGGGATTGTGTCACTCTTTTATAACAGGAGTAATTTATTTGGAAGTGACCCCTTCTGAAAAAAAGTGCCCTACACAAAAACATGTGACCTGAAAAAGAAAGTTTGTTTTCACATTTTCTCTGAGATAATAAGCTTTAACATTGGGCATGATTTATGTTCAAACAACACTAGAGGTAAAGCAACTCATATCCTTGTAACTTAATAACTTATGTCTAATATTAATGTCCTGTAATATTCTTAATATTACAGTCAAGAAATCTAAGTGTAATCATGTTCATGCTATGGAAACAAACCTTATGAATAGCAAACCTTTCACCAAAATGCAGATTGCTAACCTGTCAGTTAACTATCATACAGAAAAAAACACTGCTTTCAGAAGTGCAATGATTCTGAAATAAAGCCAATAATTTGCAATTTAGGCATCAAAGCTTGATCACTATTCTTCATTACCAATAGAGTAACATGCAGAGTAAAACCTGACACATGATCAAGGGAGCATTATTGAGGACATTAGTAGTGATTTTCAAGCAATAATTTTTTAATGATTCTCTGGTTAAAGTTAGGGGGAAAGCTGGGCAAAATGACGACTTACTCCAATGAATATTATATTATGAAATAGTACATTATTTTTGCAAGGTCCAGTTCAAGGAAATATTATGAACCACTTGAGTCTGTTTCTAAATGCATGAAGTTCCAAGATGCATTTGCTTACTAAATCTCATTTATTAGAAGAATTATATCCTACCCTTTTTCCTCTTCAGGGAACCTAAGACCTCTTCCCCTCCATTTTATCCTCACAACAACCCTGTGAGGCAAGTGAGGCTAGGAGTCAGTGACTAGTCACCCAGTGAGCTTCAATGCCAAGGAGGACTTGGAATCTGAATTTCCCAAGTTCCGCTTCAACATTCAAACCACTATACCACACTGATATAAAATTATCTGATATGAGAACATACAATAAAATTTATTTTCCATTTCTGAAAGCCAGTTCAAATTTCTTCTTAATGTGAGGAAAATAATGAGGTAAAACCTACTCTTGCATTAGTTTCTCCTATTTCACAGTGAGAGGTTCAGATATATTGAAAGATCTCTGCTGGGGGTTAAGCTATGTCCTACAGCAAAACAACAGGGACACTTGGGTCATCTTCTCACTGCACTACAGCTCAGGTACAAAACCTGGCCACATGCAAGGCAAAAGGATTAGTTTGGTGTATAAGCAGAGTATTTAAACGGTTGTGAGACAAGTGCATCAAGATTTTATTCTTCCAAGTTTATTAGTTTACCTTAATAGTAAACAAGCAACACAAGGGAGCAGAAACAGCCTCTCTACATAAAGTATTATTTTCCAATTCCTTATTACTGGATTGATACTTTTATCAATAAAGATCTGTTCATTAGACAAACCGTTTAGGCAAATGGGCTATTTGTGATGACTTCACACAATGATCTCTCAACCCACCAGTGAGTGCACCCTAAAATATATTTCTTCTATGAGGAGATTGACGGAACTGTGCCTGGTTAGCCTTGAGAAAATTGAGGGGAGGTATGCTAGCATTCTACACATACTTGAAAGGAAAAATTTCCCGCCTGTTAGAGCAGTATGACAATGGAACCAATTATGCTGGGAGGCTGTGAGCTCTCCCACACTGGAGGCATTCAAGATGCCACTGGACAGCTATCTGAGAGGGATGGTTTAACTTGGAGTTCTGCACTGAGCAGGGGCTTGGACCTGATGGCTCTCGGATCCCTTCCAACTCTGGTATTCTGATTTTTGCTCTCTTAGGTCTGCAGGGGCTAGACTTGAATTATTTACCAGCTTTCAGAAAGTGTAGCATTTATCCAAAAGCCTTTAACTGTGGAAGCACCTATACTTCTCATTGTTTTGTTAGCTGATCAAATCCTGACTATTTAGGAAGGTTTTTATTCATGCTTGAAGGTTTCTTATTCTTGATTGACCTGATCTTTTTGGATAAATTCTTTATTTGTGAATTTCATTACTTTATACATTTAAAAATATTCTCATTTCTTTTATATACTACTTTGAATGCAGTTTTGGCAGCATTCCAAAATAGTACAGAACTGTGATAATTGATCACACATTTGGTTTTAACACTTACCAAGGAATATACACACACAGTTTCTGAGAACAAATACCTAGACTCAACTCTCACCATTCTTTATATTTTACATAAATCCACTTAGTAAATTGCCACAATACTGAAATGGTTCATAGCTTTTAAAAAACAGAAATTATACTATAATATAGTAAAACTATAGTGGTTTCTCTGCTAGAAAAATTACACAGCTTCACCAACTATGCAAATATTACAGGCTGAAGTAATCTGTTACATATGTAGATTAGAATGCAAATGGGGGCCAAATATATTGACAGGACTAAAACTGTACCTGTCTCTATGCCCGGAATACGACTAGTGTTGAACAAACGTTCATACTGAGAAGAGCACATTGGGATGGTATTGTAAATCATAAGCTGAAAGGAAAAAAGGAAAGTCAAAAAACCCCGTGCACAAAGATTTAAAAACAATAAGGTAGTATGGAATGCGAGAACCTCCATGAAGATCAAAGTGGAAACCAAGAGGACCAGGATGAATTGAAAAAAAAATTATAGCAGTGATCACAAGAAAAATCCATATCAGGTAACAAACAACTTCTCAGGATCAGTGTTTTGTTTTTTAAGGAAAGGATTCGGCAAAATGTGTCGAAATTCATGTTCAAGTGTTTGATTTCTAAGCAGCAAGATATTTTAAATATGCTTGGGGTTTTCTGCATGGCTACGGTATTTTTAACATATACAATGCACTCCATTTTCCTACACACACTGTGAATATAAATGTGTTGTTTTCAAGAAGTAGTTCTCGAAGTTCATAGTCCCTGGATTCTTTGAAGTTCCTTGTCTTCAGCTGGTTCTTCTTACCTGTTTCCTCTCCTGGAATACGGGAGGTATTAAACAGCCTCTCCCACTGAGCTGAGCAGAGTGGAACAGTGGATCCCATCAGAAGAATCTATGCCACAAATGAGCATTACAATTGTGTTTTACAGATATATTAGCACATGAAGAGAAAAACACATGTGAGGGTTAGCAAGATTGTCTGACGATTCCTAGAGCCATTTCACACTAGGGAAATTTCCTACATTGAAGTCTCTGCCATGAGAAAAAGCTGAATGAATCTGGTGGTTCAGCACCTGACATTAATGTTTACATTTGCAATGTAACTTCTCTGCAGAAGATTCTGTCTTGTGTGAAGTAGCTTTCAGGATGATAGTCCCCCCCCCTTTTTCCCTCTTTCTGATCTACCAATAATAAAATCTACAGCAGTTCTTCCTGCAGTATTGGAGCTGTTAAACACATTTTGATTTTCCCCTTCCCTACTATATATAGTGCCCTATGCTGAAATCAACTGAAATGGGTCCACCAGCTAGGCTTCTGATTCTTTACAAACTATCATTTTCAAATGACTTTTAACAGAGAATGTATTACAGAGCTTCATTTTTCTAGTCCCAGAAAAGAGCTCCTTAACATACTGCCCAGAAAGAAATACAGAAATCATGTCCTGAAACTGAAAAGAAAGAAAAAAGGAACAGACTTGCATACCATTCATGGATATTAATTTGAAATTATAACATTTCTACACAACTAATTTAGATTTTTAACTAAATGTTTTAATTCATGTAACTTCACAAAAGGTACCATGTAAGACAGTGTTTGTGTAAATACCATCTCACACACTCAAGTAAGAGGAATTTCCTGTTCAGCAGTTTGGCAGACCAAACTACTAAGCTATTTGAGAAACAATGTCATCACGTTTAAAAGACAGTCTGAGAAAATGGTAAAAATACTGCTGAAAGGGAAGCTCATAAAATAACTTCATCAGGTAGAATGCTGAAGTAAATTTTAGTAATATGGGTTAAAATTCTGAGTCATCAGCATTTGATCCATCAACAGGCAACTGTAAGGGTCAAAAGATGCAAAAGATGTTACAGGGGCAAAGAGAAACATTATGGGTTGGATATCAATTAGTGCTTGGCAGAGTATGGTTGGTGCTGGAGAAGGGAGATGGGACAACTATTTTCTCAAATAACCCCTTCCTCTGTAGACCCAGTGCTACCTCCCACACTGTCTTGGAACACTGTGTGTGTTGGAGGGCATTCTGCAGTCATTTTTAGAAGACAGATGGGTTTAGGAACAAGGTAATGAAAGAAAAAGGCCAGTTCTCCATTTTCCCCCAGTAAGAAACCCAGTTCCCTCCATGAGTGAAATCCTTCCATTCATGTAAGGCCCAGTTTGGATCAATTTTTGTGTATCCATTATACCATTCCAGAGGAGGAATGCATATATGGATGCAGGTCTTCCTTGCATGAAACAGTTCGCACACAGGTTAAAAACAGCTGCTTGGTTTTCATTTTATACTCAAGTTATTTGTGATATGTGGCAGTAGTATTCCTTTTGAGTGAGTAGAATATAACTAGAGAAAAAAAGGCTATCAAAGAAGTAAAAGCCAATCAAATTCAGATCTTCCTTAACTATGCATCCTGTAGGTTTAAAGGGAGACATTAACTGGGCCTTATTTCATTAGACAGGAAGAGGAATCAGATTCATATAGCAACTTAACCAAGTTGTCAAGCAGTTATTAGTGTTTGTAGGAAACTGACCATTCATATGAAAAGACTGGTTAAAATCTGACGCTGCATGAAAAATATTTCATGAAAACTGCACTTAAATCAGGCAAGAAATGGAAACTGAATTGTACATTTATTCCTACAGTGCAGTTAACAATAGTACAGGCAGTCCCTGGGTTACAAATGTCCAAGTTACGAACATCCACACTTACAAACTACCATACAGCCTATTAATTTAAAAATCCCAGTTAAAGACAGTTTGTAGTAATGAACATGAACTAGTTTCTGTGGCTGACTGCAGATCATCATAACCACAGAGACAAGAGAGGAAACAAAAGGGTAGAGAGGGAGGTCCCCAGAGCCTGCCTTCTTGCCCCATCCATTTGGAGAGGGAAACCACTCCAGCACTTTCTTGGTGTCAAGAGAAGGCACTGATGGGTGAAAAGAGGGAGGGAAATAAGAACATAAGAATGTAAGAAATGAAGCAGCAGAATCCTGCTGGCTCAGAGCAAGGTCTAAGAGAAAGAAGGGAGAAGCATCCAGTGCAGATATGCTCAGCAGTATGAAGAGCGAAGGTTTGGGAGGAGGCTAGAGATACAGTCCTTCCACTTCTGTGGGGGTACTGTGCCCCTAACTCCTGCAAATGTGCAAGGCCAACTTTATATGGAAGTGTTTCATAAGTGCTTTCTATGCATATAAAAGTAAAATACATACTAAGACAAACATTTGGCTTACTCATGCTAAATTTGACCATAACCTGGGTACTGCCTGTAGTTATTAAGCCCATCTTCTCTTATCTATTTGCACTGAATTAAGGATGATGTGTTATTGCTGTTTATTTCACAGCAATGAACATAGTAGTCCAAATTCCATTTTTCCCCACACTCATTTGTGAGGAATTTAGGATACCTACCCAAAGCAGTAAGTACAGCATAGTTCTCATGTACAATTATACCTCTAGAAGCACAAAGAAATTTGCCTAATAATCAAAGAGCTCTGCCTTATTTCAGAGTTCCCAAATAGCCATGGCTACCTTTAAAATATTTGCAAGCAAATTTAGCAGTCAGTGTAAGAACTAGCATGAATCCTTCCAAATCTCAAATAAATCTTGCTGATCTGTGAGAAAATTGTAATAAAACATTAAGGAATATCAAGTCTGCAGATATACCCTACATGTTTGCTTTAGTGCAGGGCCATGAATTCAGTAAGATATCTATCCACAAAAGCAATCCAATGAGGCAGGCCAGAGGCTTCAAGTATCAGTGTACTCTGTGCTTCCCATGCTCAGGATGCTGTGCTGTGGGGCAAGGATTCACACATAGGTTGCATAAAGGCCCCATACGGCTTGCAGAAAATAGCAGCATTGAACAAACACAGAGGATTCCCTATCAAATGTCCCATGATTATCCCTTAAATATTCAAAGTGCTTAATACGCACATGAATTGTATCAGTATCACTTGGACAGGATTAGCAGCCATATCGAATCTGACACAGAGAACAGCAGCGGTATGCTGAAGTAGGCCCTAGGTGTTTGCCTTTTAAGACAGTTTTCATTTCCAGCAGTTTGGTTACTTACAATTAACACCTACAATCATGCTTGTTATTTACACATTTACAACTTGAAAGCAGGCAGCCTACTCACTGTTAGTTTTCAACAGGTAGCAGGTCTTGTTATACAGAACACAACTTCTTACATACAAGAACCTAATATGCAACTATTTCAGGAAAAATGACATACTGGCTTGATTTGTTGTCTGTCCAGTTTTCTTCTATACAATAAGATAGAATGGATAGCATTCCCAGCTCTAGCTGCCTGCACGGTGGTGGGAGTAAAATACAAGAAGTCCTAAGAATAAAGAGAAGAGACAGGCATGGAAGTTAGAGGAATCATGTTGTCTTCATAATCAAGACAGCCATGAATACATAGGATCCTATTTCAGGCTGTTAAAAAGAGGAATATGTGAGAAATTATCTTCATTGAGGGGTTGTTCTTCTTCAGAGGAGTTGGTTAGGTTTTAACAAATTCATCAAATTCACACCTGCTGGACCCATACACAAGGTGGAACTGAAAAACAATTACATTCCCATGTTTGCAGTGCCTTCTCCAAAACAACGTTTTTCAACAACATAGATACATTTTAAAATGCACAAAGAAAAACATGTGCATTTCCAAAATATGCAGAAACACATTTTAGTCAGTGGTTCCACACATTAATAAATGCCTATGTTATAAAAAAACGTATATTAATTTATTCACTGATTTTTAAAATTGCAAACCCACACAGAAATAGAAATAAAGTCTTGTTAGGGATGAGACAGACTGATACATTCATCTGTAGCTGAAAGGAAAGTTTTCCATGTGCCTGGTTCCATTTAATATACTGCACAATACAGCAGCACCTGCTGCATGCATGGTTCCCCTTTGCTAGATTATGTCCAGAAGCTACTATCACATGCCTTCTTGCATGTGCTGAATCCTACCAACTTTGTTGGACTGAACATGTGTAGTTGACTAAAGGACTGCAATTCAGTATGGATTTCTCTTCAGAAATCAACCACTCTCTTCATTAATAAAATTAATTTATTCTCTCCAACACCAAACATTGTGACTCCATACGAAATACAGAGATAGTGAAACTGGGCCACCTATAAACAATTTGGATGTTTCTGAATCCTTGGGAAACTCCCCAGGTATGGATAGACATTTTACATTGTGGGACAAAAAGACACAAAGTATTTCCAGAAAACTTCTGATGGGTCTCTGCATGTGCAAAGTATTCCCATGGGGGTGGGGTTGCAGGGAGACACATTATTTGTGTTTAAAAGGAATGAAGGGGAGACTATGTAACAATCAAATGTTTATCATTAATGAGATGCAAAACATGAGACCTGTGACCAGGATTTCCCATGTTCTCACATGCCAATTAGCACCCTAAACAGGCAGGACCATCTTAACTGATGGGCACTTGCCCGTGGGCCCCATACTCATCTGTTAACCCTTGTATGTTAACCCTTGGAAAATTGGAAAACTTCCAAAATTAACAGTAGCTGTAGTTGTCGTAGGGGCCCCAGTACACTGCTTTGCCCGGGGCCCATAATGCTGTTAAGACGGCCCTGTAAAGAGGTATTCCAAAGACTAGGGAAACAAAGTTTAATTTGATTTGGCATTTCCTATGCTTTCACCCACAGAGCTTATAGCAATTTTGGGAAGAAAAGCCAGATTATGACTAAGGAAACAAAACCAGGACAAAACCAGTACAACTTCCCTGATCTTCAAAGCACTCGTCGCTCTTTCTCTTTTTAAGAGGATCCAGTTTACTGATCTTCCACATGACATACAGCTTGAGCCTCAAAACTTCTGTTTAGTGAGTCATTAACTACAGCACAATTTAAGTCAGTATGATGTAATTTCAGTTACTTCACTGCTTGGTCTGAATGTCCTCCCCATGGAACACCAAGCATGGCAATGTAAAAGAAACCAGCATGTAGCCAACATAGTTCCAGAAAGGAGTAGTTAACGGCATAATGCTACCTGTAGGATGTTTGCAGAACCTTTTCTGCCTCAACACATGTTGGATTGTGCCATAAATCATTAAGAAAATAGGTGATTCTAGAAACACAATTTTTTCACGAAAAAGCGTATTAGTTATGAAAGTTTATAGCAGGATGAAAAACACACATTGGCCAGGATTTACAACTGGTCATCTTCACTAAATGAGCTCTTTCAGCAACATGCACTATTGCTCTGACAAACCCACAAGTGCTTATACCACAGGATGACTTCTTCCTGCACACACAGAAGACGACAAACTTTTGTCACACCAGCGACCAATGGCATACTTCAGCAGGCAGCTCTACCTTAGGGTCCATGTTGGGCAGATTCTTTTGCTTTTCTCTCTTCCTCTGCCCCTGCTGGTTTTTTAAGGTTGTTGGATGGTTGGGTGCATTTTTGCATCTTGCCTTAAAAGAGGCTCTTTGAGAACTATGAAAATACTAAGAAAATTGCAGCATTTACTCACCATTGCAAAATAATTACTGTTTACCATAATAGGACCACGTCCTCGAAGGTAAATGTATTCTTCCCACCAATCACTAACCTACAAGAACAAACAAGATCAAAATAATCTATCTGTGAAATTTACCAGGACATCAGTAGAAATGCACACCTGGAAATAGAGATAAACACCACTTTGAAAATTAAAGCAAAGTAGAATCAATTGCAATTTCTCACTAGCCTTGCCAGGCAAGTCCAAAATTATGGTAATCAAGCTCCTTCCCATTCCTCCTGGCTCGGCAGAGACAAACGTCTCCATGCAACAGATCCCAAGAAAGCCTCCTGTTCCTCTATATTGTAAGACAGGCAGAGAAAGTGTTGAGTTGGCTTATGTCTGTTGGTTGTCAGAACGCTGGACAAGCAGTGATCAAAGAAGCTCCCCACCAACCTTTCCTGCTCAGTTGCAAGAAAATGTGGTAGTGGGAAGGATTTGCTGGTTTGATCCTGCAAGGTCTGCCAAACAACATCCAACCTTCATCTCAGCAGGAAAAGAACTTGCACAAGAAGGCAGTCACAGTTGCTGCTCAAACATTTGCTGACTATGGTAGGAATAGTTAAACATTCACTCCTTCCATGGACAACCCAAGTCTTAGCTACCACCAGTTCCTACAGTCAACACAAGAAGAATTCCTAGAATGAGTGCACTATAAAATGGTAAGTGTTGTGCTTTTGGAGAGTAACTTTTCTTTAAGTACAGAAGCAATTGGAAAAAATTATGGTACAGGAAGTCCCCTACATATGAAATTTCAAGTTGAGAACTTTCAAAGATGTGAACATGCTTTTGTGTAGTTTACTGTAATAACTGAGAGAGGGGAGTCCAGCAAAGCGCAACACAGGTCTCACCAGCCTAACAGTAACACCAAATGAGGAAGAATGCAACATACGAATAACATGGGAGCATTTCCACACTGCCATGTATCTGGAAGTATAACTTCTGGAAGTCCTCCCGTGACATCAATGGAAGTACTCCAGTGGAGTTATAAACCTATTACAGTACAGTACTATATAGCCAATTGTGTTAGTTGGATACCTAGGCTAACTTTGTTGGACTTGCAAACAAATTGGACTTACAAGTGTGCTTTCAGAACAAAACTCATTTGTATGTTGGGTACTTCCTGTATATGGTTTCACAGAAGCATTTGGATTGTGTAAACCACCCAGAGAGCTTTGGCTGTGGGGCAGTATAGAAATGAAAATGGCAATGGTAATGGTAATAATATAATTCATCTACTTACATAGTTTGTAGCCCACCAAGATTTCACTTTCAAATACCACTGTAACTTTGGTCCCAAGTTAACGGAAAAATCTTTGCCAAGAGCTTCCATTCTTGTAAACTCTTCATCATTCATAAGTGGTCGAACTGACTCCAAATACTTGGATTCATAAGAAGAAAAGATACAGTTTTCAGTGTGGTATGCTCTACCAAAGTCACCTCTTTTCCACTTCCATACATTCAAGAAGTGGGTGAAAGGAATACTCTGATGGTACATTACAATAAAGCGGGAACAACTACCAATGTTAAGACGAGTAAGAAAGGCCCTAGCAAAATGATTTGTTATTATATTCATATTGTTGCTGCAAGCCATCACTGCACTATGGAGAGCTGGACAGTGAAAGGCATGGGGAAGATGAGTATTTGAACACCTGATAGTTAAGGACAAGAAAAAGATTGTGGTAGAATACAGAGTCACCAAAACAGAGATCTCAAGGGTGACCTATATAATTCTTTCAGAGGAAAGCAGAGCGCTAGGAAGCAAGACAAGACAGCCTGCAATGTCAGAGAGAACCTGAAGGACAGGACAGTCAAGGAAAAAAATCCCCTGATGCTGGAAAGCAGAGACTAAAGGAACCCCCAAAGATGTGATGCAACAAACAGTTTGACTTTTTTATTGGCAGAAATCATTCCCTCTGCTCCTGATATTCAAGCAAGAGCACCCATCTTTATGTAGCAAAAGCAGCACCATCCTTAACCACCTGGGAGTTATCAGTACACTTGGCAGAGCCCTGAGGTTTGTGGACATGCAAAAAACATATGTTTTAAACAAACATGCTTGGGAAAGGAAGGAGGTGAACAAAGAAACACAAGATGGTGGCTAGACCAGAGGAAGCTTGCAGAGCAGAGGAAGGATGACAGAAGCAGCGAAGAGAATGTATTTGAGTGAAGAGATGAATACATGAATGAATACAAGAGGTGATGGATAAGACATTGGACAGTAACATGGAGTGGAAACACAAGGGGAGAGAAGGGGAAATAGCATACAACAGTTGCTCATGTTGCCTAGTGTTTCTTTAGTCATTCACATTTCTATTTGTCTCCAATGTTTGGCATTGACCATCCTTGTAACAGTAACCATACAGGAGCTCAACTCTCTGCCCTGATCCAGACATACATTCCCAGCTTGGTCATTTATGATAACGCTGAAAATCAATGTGGGGCCTATGCTTTTGTCTGCCCCCTCAGCTCACCTTCCCAGTTGAACTTAACCTGCTTTTCCCCACTGCATCCAAAACAGGTAACTACAATTCAATGTTAGCTCACTACCTAAATTCTTAAACCATGGCTTAAGCCTTGGATTATAGTAAGATCCTGAATAATTAACATAGACTGGGAGTCCTCCTGGACTCAAGAAAACTGGGGCACCCCAGGTGGCTGCAGCATTCAGAAGTGCCGTGTTATTAATTTAGATTGGTACAGTTGAAGACAATGGGCCTTATCTTTGATATTGCAGGTGGGGTTGCTTTTGAAAACAGTTCATAAACTTCAGCTGGTGAAGAATGCAGCTCTCCAGGTGTTGGTGGGGGTGAGGTGATTTCATCATGTAATACCTGTACTGTATCAGCTTGTTAGAGTGTGTTTTCGAGTCCATTTTAAAATATTGTTTTTGGCCTTTGAAGTCCTAAGCAGTTTGGGTTCTAATTAGTTATTTTCACTCCTAACAGCCTAGTCAGATTATAGGATCACCAAAAGATTTTAAGATCACTTGTCCACCTGTGAGAACAGTTAGATGGATGGCTACATGTAAGAAGACCTTTTCTACAGTGGCCCCATGCCACTGGAATAAATTGCCATCAGTAGTGCTCCAATATTGCAATGCTGTTAAGAATGCCTCAAAAATACTATCTGGCTCTGGCCCTCTCTCAATATAATAGCTCTTCATGCTGCTTTTAATGCATTACTGCTTTAATTGTATTCTAGTATTCATATTATCATACTAATTGTATGTGTTTGTATTGCGTATGCTGCCTTGGGAAGGCTTCAATCCCAAAACAGAGCCAAGAAATATTTTAAATAAATAAAGAAGAACCTGGGCTGACGTAACTTGAAACTCCAAAGCATGTGGTGGGTGGTAGGCTGGGAATGACTAGTTTGTCAGCTAGGATTGGCTTGTCAAAGAAGGGAGGAGAAACATTTAGCCCATTCCTAGCTTATTAAACTATGGTCCAAACCAAATCTTTTTCCTTAACTAATAATGCATTATTAGAGCATAAGAAATAATAATGGATCTCATCATAAGTCATATCTTCTTTTTCTAAAACAGTATTTTTCTCATGTTCATGGGTAATTTTAACACAGATGGTAAAATAAGACACTTCTCTCCTTCTGAGATGCCCAATACTTTGGATTATAAGTAAAAATAAACAACTACAATGTAGACTATAATGTATCATCTAAACATTATTTTAGAATAGCAAGTTAAACAAAAGATAAGGCCAAATTTGCGAAGACAAAGGTGCATCAATGAGTCATACTTTTCAAGCTGGGCCTGTTTCACTGTGTGTGTTTTTTTTACATACTCAAAGTTGCATTTGTATTACAGGAAGGTTTCACAAACCTTTGAAATAATATGCTATCTGCTGCTTTCCTTTTATTTTCTATAAAAACAACTTAAATAATAATCCATAAATAATAATCCTCTTCCTTAAATGTCTCAACACATCTACCATATATTCATGCACTGCATAATTAAAATTTCAGAGCAAAAGCCCAGTGAAGAAACTAATCTTAAGTCTCTAAGTCATTTGGAGATTACACAATGCAGTCAGAACATTAAAATATGGGAATTTAAAGATTTTGAATATCCCACCCTTGGAATATTCATAACTGCAAGATACAATAAAGGCATGCCATTTTAAGTATTCCTGGTTTCCTTGTAAATGAATACAAATATATTAATATGGAACTGAGTTTTTCAGATACTAATAGTAAAATTTGCATTTGTCTATTTTTGCACAATGCAAATCAAGGCTAGTATTCTAACTAGATTCAGGTTTGAGGGAGGAGGGAATTAAAAAGAAATATAAACACACCCTATTTACAGTATCTTTAACAGCTGGAACAGGAAGACGTGGCAAAGATGTCTGAAAACTGTACAGCATAGGTTTGTGACCTGAGAAAAGTTTCACCAGTGCCTGAAAATGAAAAAAGAAGACAATAAAGGGCTGCAGAATGTAGAATAGCAGTTTAAAGTCACAGATGTATACTTAAGCATTTAGACTTCCTTTATGCAAAATGGAAATCAAAGGGCAGGTTCAGGCATGGAGTTGTTGTTGAGAAGTTGTTGCTTTTAAAGCCTGAGCAGCTATCCCCCTACGAAGTCCAGCTTGGACTTAGGCTCTTAATCTTGATTCCCAACTGTAACAAAGCTCTAAGTACATCTAAGATTCAGCTGCATTCTTCTCTCCTGTCATTCTCTCTTCCTCTCCCTGTAACCTCCTTGGGAACAGGGACCTCTCTGTCATTTAATACTGTGGCACAGCACCTTTCTATTCCTTTCTTTCTTTACTAGAACATTCTTGGGAGCACAACTGCTAAAGGACATGGGAAACGGCAAAAGTATTCAACAACCTGAGCTCTCAAATCTTCTTCTACCAGGACAGGACAACTCAGTGTGAAACAGAGCAAATTTGAGGGATTTAAAACTGCTTTCTCTCTCTTCAGAAGGGATCCTGCATCTTGCAGTTTCAACATGAGATGCTTAAACTATCGATTGTTTGGCCTGTCAGTATTCAAACCTTCTCATACATACAATATATTGAAGTACAGTGGTACCTTGGCTCACAAACTTAATCCGTTCCAGGACTCTGGTTGTGACCCAAATTGGTTGTGAGCCAAGTTAAATTTCCCCATAAGGTTCATGTAAATAAGGTTAATCCGTTCTGTAACTATTTTTTTTAATCAGAAAATGTGAAGCAAAGTGACAAAGAACAACAAAAATCGTGGCCATCTCCCCAACCCTCCCCAGCACAACCGCGATCACGTCCCTCATCCCTGAACGTGCCTGTCATCCCAGCATGCTTGGTGGGGGGGGGGGGGGGGGGGAAAACGGGGGGGTGCTGGGAGGGGAGAGACAAGTGCGAATGCAGGGAGGGAGACGGGTGCAATGGCACTGGGGGGAGGGAGATGGCCAAGATCGTGGTTGCGCTCCTGCAGGAAAGAGGCACAATCATGGGCATGCTCATGCAGGAAAGATGGGCGTGATCTCGGCCATCTCCCTCTCATTCCCAACATGATCACGGCCATCTCCCCACTCGGGGGTGGGGAGATGGCCGCGATCATGGTCGCCACCCAATGTGGAGATCGTGACCCGAGTCAAAATTTTAATGAAATTTTTGTGACCCAATTTGGCTGTGAACTGAGGCATCCGTGAGCCGAGGTACCACTGTACAACTATCTGAAGTTATTAGTTCATAGCACTCTGAGCAAATAAACTTTTTATTTTCCCATTATTTTAAGGTTTAATAGGTTTTAAGGTGGGTGTTATTTACTGGAAGTTTTGGATGTTGTGCTCTATTTTATTTTGTGCTGCTTTTATTGTAAAACCATCCCAAGATGATTGTAGTGGATGGTATATAAAAACTATAAATACATAAATAGCATAATCCTGGCTTGTGAAGAGTTCTACCAATTTGCCTTGCTTATTCATAGATTGCAATGGCTCACTATGATAAGCATTGCCTAAGTATGACACACTGTTCCCCTTGTCGGAATTCTCTCTAAGATGATATGGCATAGTGAAGCTCTTGCCGGAAAGCAGTTATCACAAAATCCATTAAATTCTATTTTCTAAACCTTCACAGAACTCAACAGTTATCACATCAGTAACAGAGATAAATAATGACACAAAAGTATATTTCCCCAAGGTTCTTTAGGTAAGAAAACAAAAAAACTATGTAAAAAACATAGTTACAAAAATACTGAGAAATGAGGCTCAAGAAAAATGAGAACAATCAACATTGTTTAGTGAGGGAGAATGCTACATCCTAGGAAGTAAGCCAGTAATGTTAAAGTCTTTCAAATATCTGGAATGTCAATCTCCATAAAAGAGAAGTATTAGCTGTATTTCTCGCTTGCCACTTCAGTTATGATAACTAATGGCTTCCTGTCAGTATCTAGGAGTAAAATTCCAAAAGCAGAACATATTAGTCATAGCTGTTCACACTGCCCAAGCTTAGCATTTTAAGAAAAACAGATTTAGAAGTATTGAATTCATAGGACATGCCAAAACTCCAGCCAATGAAAATGCTAAGCCACATCAACAGAATGCTCTGGACCTTACCCTTCAGTCAGAGCCTGCATTCAAATAAGAAAGATCTTAGAATCATATCTGAAGAAAACTATCACACATTTCATTTGCATCTGATTTCTGCTCACAGAAGTAATTCAACATACTAGTCACCATATTCAAGCTGAATTCCTTCCATACTTTACTAATATATACAGAAGGCAGCATGTAGTAATCAGAAGAGACTGTTGTACATAAAACTTATTTTTGTTTATTCTACAGAGTGGGTCACCCTGCAGCTAACATATCTCAAGGAAAGATACAGCAAGGGCAAAGACACAAAATGAGGTTTTAAGAAATAAGAAAGCATTTCCTCACTACCCAAAGCATATTCAAAATGTTTTCTCTTGTGTTTATTTAGGCCCAAGTTTCCTAATAATTTTGTCCTTTATCAAGGCTTATGTTCCAGCATAAATACTCAACATGTTTACACTGGAAACCTAAACAGCTTTGTTTGTTGCAAAGAGTTATAATATTGAATTTTAGCTCTTTAAATATTGCAGTCAAATGTAACTAAGCTTTATCCAAGTGATAGGTCATTCTGTCATTCTCAGGATGTAAGCAAAGTGAAATTTTGAAGGAACAGGCACAACTACTCAATGGCATTTTAATGTTTTCACTAGATATAAAGAAGGGAAATGAAATAAAAACACTCAAGATGTAGTTCTAAATACCAAGTTATTAATCAAAGATATAACCAGCTAAGCATTATATAAATTCCGTACTCAAGTAGATGATCAAAGTGTCTTACCATCCATAGCTTGATTCCTGGAGAAAGTTTGCCATGTTCAGCAAACACCCACCCATGGTAGGAAAGCAGCATCTTTAGTGTGTAGCGCATTGTGAAAATAAGGGCCACCCAGAGCCCTGTCCCAAAGAGAATCCCACTGACAACATTCTGTGTTTGGTTGGACATATAGCCTCTATTTTTAAAAAAAACAAAAAATTAAAGATAAAACAACTGTAAAGAATTGCAGGAAGAGGTAAAACATATAAAGGAAGCCACTGTTATCAAGAAAGGATTATTCTGAACATATCACAGGACTGAGCTAAAATGGTCCTGCAAACATGTTGGGAGCTGGCAAGCTGCAGGTGGTAGGAGCATTTTTAGAATTTTCAGTTTGGGGGTGATAAAATATAGGTGAAAAATGTGAAGACAATCCCCCCTCCCACATATTTTCTTTGTTTTACTTCTCAAAAAAATGTTATCACTGATACCGACGGTTACATTAAATAAATAGAGCAAATTAATCATTATTTTATCCATCTGTTTCATTACTATACCACCAAGGGTTCACAAAATTAAAATCCAAAACAAAACATAGTAAAATATTACATAAAATCTTTAACAATCCTTGAAATTATAAAATAAAAAAATCAAGAATTTCTACAATGATTTTGCCAAAATGCATCAATAAAGATGGTTGGAATTGTTCAAATAGATTTTTAAAATCGAAGCTGTGTAACAAAAGCTAAGTGGTTAGATGATACAAATGAATAACCTGCTCATATTTCAGAGCAAACTTGACTTGTCAAGGGTACAAAACTAATCCCAGGAAATGGTAATAAAATAAATGGGAAAATAAGTAGAACAGAAATGTCTGCTCATTAGTAAAGATATTTTATTCCATTTGTTAGAAGAACATTTTTATAAAGCATTTCTACTGATATACATCACCACAAAACCTAAATATATATATTCGGTAGCAGACGTTGTTGGAAATATGGAGTAATTAACTCACATATGGTAAACTTGTGAAAAAAAAAAAACCACAGAAGTTTATGGGGAAAAGTCACAGCCAACTTGAACAGAACAATTGGATCCCTATAACTGTGATTCCAGTGCACATTTTCTTGGGTATCTTAGGGCACAGACCTACATTGTCTGCTCTAGATGCATGTAAGCCTCTGAACAATAAGACTTGCGTGCATCCAGTACAAGGTATCAAGTGCAGCAATTCTCACTACCTCCTGCTTTGCACCCTATATTTTATGCAAAAGGCCAAAGCAGCAGTGGAGGGAAGGAGGCTGGGGTCTTGTTTGGATACAGGGCAAACTATCAGCCCCAGCCTCCTACCCTAGCCAACAACTAGTAGAATTGGAAGGGGTCATAAATGCCATCGGGTCCAACCCCCTGCTGTTGCAGGACACCAATTTACACCATCTCACTCAGATGGCTGTCCAGTTTCTTTTTGAATGTCTCTATGTGGGAGACCCCATGACCTCTCTAGGAAAACAGTTCTGCTGTCATATTGCTCTGGCAGTGAGGAAACTTTTCCTGGTATCTAGCCTGAACCTGGGATGTCACAACTTGAGCTGATTATTCCGTGTTCTACATTCTGGTATCAACAATAAGATATCTTAACCTTCTTCTATGGGACAGCCTTTGAGGTACTTATACAGGGATATCATGTCCCCCCTCAGTCTTCTCTTCTCAAAGCTGAACATGCCAGGTTCTCCCAGCCTCTCCTCACACGGCAGTGTTTCCAAACCCTAGATCATTTTTGTTGCCCTCCTCTGGACCCTAATTTTTCCACATCTCTCTTAAATCTTGGTGCCCAGAACTGGACAAAGTATTCCAATTTGCCAGTTTGCCAGCTGTATTGCTTAGTTGGCTCATATTTAGCCTGATGTCCACAATTACTCTGAGGCCTTTTTCTTTTTCAGTTCTGTTGAGCCACATATTCCCCATCTTGTATCGAAGCATTTGGCTTCTTTTTCCTAGGTGGAGAACTTGGCACTTGTCCTTATTGAATCCCATTCTGTTGTTTTCAGGTCAGTGGTCAAGTTTATCAAGATCGCCCTGGATCTCCATTCTGTCTTCTAGGGTGTTTGTTATTCCACCCAGTTTTGTATCATCTGCAAATCTGATTATCTTTCCTTGAACTTCCTCATCCAAATCATTGATAAAGTTGTTGAAGACCACTGGGCCCAGGACTGAACCCTGCAACGCACCACTAGTTACAGTGGTGCCTCCTAGTTCAAAAGACTCTAACTTCAAATGATCCAGAGTTCAAACAGCCTCCTGAAACCAATTAAATTCGAAGTACAAGCCACCACTGCACCTTCCTCCAATTTGAGAAGGTGCCATTTAGCAGCCAATTTTAGATCCACCTAATAGTTTTTCTATTTAAGTTCAGTTTTTGCTAATCTTCTTATCAGAAAATTGTGGGGCACTATTTCAAAAGCTTTGTTCAAGCCTAGATAGATTATGTCCACAGTGTTCCCCTCTGTCCTTTTGGGAGGTTACCCTGTTAAACAATGAGATTAAATTATTATGACAAGATTTATTTTTGATAAATCCATGTTGGCTTCTATTAATCACTACATTTCTTTAAGATGCTTGCAGACTTATTTTTTTAAATAATTTTCTCCAGAATTTTGGCAGGGACTGATGTCAGACTAACTGGTCTATAATTCCCAGGTTCATCCTTTTCCCCCTTTTTGAAGATAGGGACATTAGCCTTTCTGACTTTATCATCTGGGTCTAAAGAAGGGATAACTTGCAGAATTTTACTACGTTTATCAACAATGCCCGTGAAACAAAAAGTCTGCTAGTAACACCACAACTGAAAGCACAAAATTACACTCCCTGGATGCCCTTTAAACCACTGAAAAACCATCAAATTGTCACAGAGTTCTATTGTAAACCTACAGATTCTCCTCTGTAACTTCAGGTCACATCACTGAAACAATCTACAGAATAACATATGTAGCTTGCCTCTAAGATAAAATGCATTTTCAATAATGAAGAAAACTTCTCAAAAAGATGTAATGTGCTTAAAGGACATCTTCAACAGTGTGAATCCTTATTTTATTGACTATCAAATTGACTGAGCATCACTAACTTCCAGGGTTAATCTCCTGCATAAATCAAAGGATCTCTTCAAAAGAAAATTGCATTCCATTTGTTGGGTGCTACCATTTGAGTACCACCAAATAATGACATACAGCTGCCCGATTATAGCCTATATTGCGCTTTGTAAAGGAAGCTGTGAACAGTCAGCCATGTATCCTGTTCAGAAACCACTGCATTTGTATAAGTTACTTACCAGGACTTAAAATATTATTTGCAACCCAGGGTCACACCAATATTACACTGCATTATCTGTAGTTACCTCTAAGAAACCACTTCTTTTATTGCAGCTGCAGTTATTATTCAAACTGACTGCATCAGGCAATCAGTGACATGCATTTCCACTAATTAACTGAATGTAAAAAAGAAAGGAATATTGTATGCAATATGCAGGAAAAACTGCAAGAACAAGATTCCATAATCACAAATCTGCCATTCTTACCAAAAATCTACAGCAGCTTTTTGCAAGACTGTTTAAGCCCACTGTACATAACCTCTCAGATTAACAATCTCTTCCAACTGAACTAACAAAGGACACTGACATGTTGGATAGACAGGAAGACTGTTGGATCAACAGACTCAGAACTCAGTTCATGTTGCCTTAATCTGGAAGTCAATTCATGAATTTTATTTTGTTGCTTTTTGCTTCTTTTTAGGAATTTTGCCTCCAGCATTCTGAACTGCCTGTGTTTGGACCCATTCCACATCACAGCTACTGACGAGGGTGAGAAGAAAAAGATTTTGCTTTAAATATATGTGGAAATAATGCTGTAACTCTTATCTTTCATAATACATATGTGCATGTGTGTGAGAATGTGCACATGGATGTATCATTCTCTTTAACACCACTGGCAGAGCAGCAAGGTAAGTACACCTTGGGTTGCATAGCCTCGGGTGGGTGTAATGGAGGCACCCGAGGCTATGCAACAGAATTATTGGCAGAGTCTAACTAAATTGGCTCAAAATAAGCCACTCTATTTCTACCAGCATCACCACATCCAGTGTTAGCTTATTCTAACCTTAACCTCACACCTTATTCAGTGTGAGGACTGATGTTTTACCTTCACTGATGTGAGAAATCTAATGAATGAGAAAAGAGGATCCACTTTACTTACGTTGTATCAAGGGTCCGGTTGATTTTAGCTATTAATCCCAGTGAAGGATCTATTTTGGCATACATTGTTGACATAACTCCTACCACTACAATAAGCCAACTAGATGGGCTAGCAGGATAGACTCCTGTGATTATGCCATTCTGAAAAGACAAGAAGTTTACAGTTAACTTTTTGAATTCCAAAGCAACCACTTCGCATTACCCAGCAGGATATACAGGAAGACATGGTCGTATGGATACAGGCTGACATGGACTTTGACAGATCACCAGGATATATTACAGGTCTGCCTGACAGACCAGGATATATTATTAACAGCAATATTTGTTCAAATGCGCATAAGTGAAAACTGGTGGACACTGAAGACTGATAGAAAGCTGCTGGTCTTCATACTTGCTGAAAACTGTCTGCAGGTCTGAAGATAGACAGCTGTAAATCTGATCCATCCCCAAACCAGGAAAACTTATTATCATACATGTTCATAACAATAATGAACCATCCAGGCAGACATTTCTTACTTGAACTGCCTCCTGCCATAGAAAAGGATGCTCTAACAAAACGAAAATAACTCTTGGAAGCTCCCAAGGAAAGATGCACTTTCACAATTTCATCCAGCTAGCAGGAGGGGAATGCTGGAAAGGTCCCTTCATTTCCATCTCTTGTACATGCAGCCTAAGAGAGTTAAACTAGAATTGCCACGGTACCTCTGCTGGCTAAAGGAAAGGCTTCTCAGAATTTCCAGGTTATGAAGACACTTAAAAACATTAGTTATGTGATTATGAAAGTATGGGGATAGAAAGGGGAGCAATAGCTTACTGACACACAATAAGGTTTCAAGTGGAAAATAAAGTTAATGGGCTGTGAGAGAGTGTGGGGCAAAACAACAAAGACTGTCTGTTGTGGGGGTGAAAACCAAGAGGGAAGAGTGTGGGGAACTTTTAAATAAAGCATAGTGCAACTGCATTATAACATTCACAAACTCACCCTCCTTCTATGATGCTTAAAGTGGCATTCTTGACATACAAAGTGGCATACAAGTAGCTAAGGAAGGATTTGAACCCTGGCTGTCCCTGGGTCCACTGCATCAAACTAGCATTCTGTGCACAGTCTATGGAAGAGGATGTTTGATTTATTTATTAGATCTGCCTTTTTCTTACAAAGAACTCAAAGAGCTTACATAGTACTTCTCCTGCTCTCAATCTTATCCCCACAACAACAGCCCTGAGAGGTATCTTGGGCTGAGAGTCATAACTGGCCCAAAGTCACCCAGTTGGCTCCATGGCTGAGCGGGGACTAGAACCCAGATTGCCTGAGTCCCAGTCCCATGCCCTTAACCAATACCCCACACTGGCTCTCATGAGTTATCAAATTTCAGTGATTTTTGGGAGCAGAACTACACATTATTTTGATCAACCTGCATTTTCAAAACACTTGGTTGATTAACATAACACACGAGTGGGATCACATTCACAGGAAAAACTGGCAGGGAGGAAGGGGCTGTTGAAAATTTCCTTCATTCAGTAAGTCATGCTTATTTTTGCAGAAAATGCCACCACCAGAACAGATTGATGGGAGATGAACTTATGGGCTGGGAGAAGAGTTATGTACCATATCACCATTGTTAATGTTGCACAATAAACACAGGTGTTCAGAATCTCTTGTTCATTGCACAATGGATAACTGCCTTCCATACAGAGTCAGATCTGCAATATGAGTTACCTTGAATCTGATGAACTTCTTCTTCCAAGAATAGAGGCCAGATAGATAGATCTGCCTGAGAGCTTCATGGCTCATACGCAGATCAATCCCTTCCGGGGTTACAGTGAACTGAAACGCAACTGCTTGATGGGCTTCTGCCATTGTTAGATCGTATCTGTGAAATGAAAGAATTTTAAAAGGTTGTATTAGTAGCCACTCACATTTTACAAGAGTAAACAGGGAACAGGATACTCAGTGCAAAGTTGTGCAGGCCAAATATTCACTACCTTGGTTTTTCCACAGGAATCAAGTGCTGCAGAAGCATTACACTTTTCCAATGTTTAAAACCACATCAGAGAAATGTCTCATCAAGAATGAAGAACAAAGTCATGTTAACATCTACAACAGGGCACACGCACACACGCATGTGCACAGAGATACACACACAGAGTAACTGGCAAATTCTACATTCAAAAGAGACATTACTTGTAAAGCCTTAGAAAATACCACGACTGGTCAGAAACCCACTCTAAAGACACAGACCATAAATATAGCCTGATGGAACATTAGGAGAACTTCCAGATGGATGGCTTCTAGCACTACCAATCAAATTATATTGTGGAGCTAATCTATCTTTTGCTCTTCAGTGGATTTTGCTGGAAAGAGAGAGAGAGAAGAAATACAAGAGAGTTCAAACTGACAGATGATGTCAGCCAGATCCCCTGTAAAAATTCACAAATGAGACTTCTATAGCCTTGCCTCACATTGAAACATCATAGACATTTCAAACGCTTTTGAAGGGATATTTTATAGACTTAGTCAGCAAGTATTTGAGTTGTGCACCCACCCCAAATTGAATTATTTTTTGGAGAAACTTCTGTGTTCTGGTTCAATGCCCAACAGCACTACCCCTCCCCTGAGAAAGACATGAATCCATTCTAACTGTAAACACATTTTCCCTTCTACAACACCACATTTACATTCCCTCCTAACTTTGTATGCTGAAACTTGTCTCAGTAGCTTTTATTTTAAAAGTATGCCTATTTTTAGCATTTAAGATTATACTATCTAAACAAGCTAACAGTGGTTATCATATTGCAGCAGTATTTTTCTAGATGCACTGGCTGCATGTCCTTCCTGGCCCAATTCAAATGGCAGGTATTAAACTTTAAAGCTCCAAGTGGCTTGGGGCCAGGTTACCTGAAGGACTGCCTCCTCTCACATATGCCTACCCAGATCTCAAGAATCCTTGTCAAATAAGCTGAGAAAGAAAGGTCTTTTCAGTGGCAATACCAGCCGTGAAGCATTGTTCCTCAGAGATTTGCCTGGTGCCAACATTATGGAACATTTGGTGCCAAGTGCTTTATTTTCCCCAAAATTTCAATCTTTCCATGGTTTTAGCTAGTAAAGACTAGATGTAAATCATGGTTTTCTACATAATTTGCATTCCTGCCTGCCTTACCAGTAGGTAGAGGAACTTCATTAGCGTATTCCCAAACTGGGTCTCTTTTACTGCCTGCTGCTATAATAGGTTTTCTCCTCCAAGGAAAGAATTATATGATAAACCTCAGGGTTATACAAAAAGATCCAAAGATCTGTGGAGTGTTCTGCTCAAAATATTTCACTTTCATTTTTACTGCTTGCCCCTCCCTCATCACATTTAACTTCTTGTGCAGATCTATTCCACTCCCAACAATCTGCTTCTATTCACTGATTTTTTTTTGCACCTTAGCACTTAAGAGGTAAGGGGTTGATTCCGTGTACATAAATTTGCAAAGGAACAATTAGATTAAGGTCCTTTTCTCAACTCTGTATGTTCATTTTATAACATTCTTGCTGTGAAGGAGAGGCATGTGAACTCTGCAGACACAAATTCAAAGTTCTGATAAATGTAAAACCAAGCATCTGTGATAGTATCTTCCAGATAGAAAAACTGCTCAATAATCTTACAGATACCTCTGGAAGAACATGACATTGTAAATGGGTTGATGGAATTCATTTACCAAAAAATTTAAACATTGCATGAATATCCAGCTTCATGCTACATAATTAAAAACTAATGCTTATTTCATGATGAATATAACCTCTGGACTGATTTTTATCCATCCTACTTTTAGCTTTGTTGTATTAATATTTTGCTGCTGGTACTTTTATGCATTTTAATGGACAATTATATTTGAAACTGTTTTGATTTTTCAGTTTTAATTTTTATGGCTGAAAGTTTCATTGTTAACAGAAAATGGAAGTATTGACTGGGACAGAAACAATGTTAATAAATGAATAAACAGATATAGAAGAACCAACATGGGATACTGGAGCAAAACTGGCCATTAACAGAATATGTTCCAAGTGATTAATACCAAAGCAGAATAGTCTACTTCTTTAGACAAGCAAACTATTCCTTTGATCCTTTGTAGAGTGAGAGTAACACTAAAAAATAGCATTTATTTATTTATTTATTTATTTATCGATTTAGATCCTGCCTTTTTCCTACAAAGGGCTCAAGGCAGCTTACATCTCCTCCTCCATCTTATCCCCACAACCACCACCCTGTGAGGTAGGTTGGGCTGAGAGTCTGTGACTGGCCCAAAGTCACCCAGTTGGCTCCATGGCCGAGCAGGGACTTGAACCCGGATCGCCTGGGTCCCTGTCCCATGCTCTTAACCACTACACCACAGCATATATATTCCTGGTTACTAATTATTTTATCATAATGTACCACATATAGAAAGGTTTCACTGGAAGAAATCCATACATATGGAAATTATGTCTCAGATTATGGGTGCCATTCTACCTTACATTAATGATGTAGAAACCACTGAAGGAAATATGCCTGATTTCCAGGCCACCCTGGTAGTCCCTCTAAGTGGAGCTTTGAAGAAATCACATCAGACTTTGAAGCTTTAGGGAGGAAAGTCAAAAACTATGAGAACTCAATAGTTTTCTCTATAATCCTTCCACTTTATGGAAAAGAAAGAGAGAGAGATAGAAAAATACTCCAAGTGAATATCTGGTTACCAAGATGGTGCTGACATGAGATACATAGATTCAGGGATGACAGGTTACTTTTCCTGGAAGATGGACTGCTTGCAAAGGATGGGTTGCCCCTTAATAAGGACTGGAAAGGATGTACTTGGCCACAACATGAAAAGGTTGGAATTTACACTGGATCCTTCAGGGGAGAGAAAGTACACCTGGGCATAAGAACAGACAAAGGCTTATGCGATGCAAGTTCTAATAGTGCCCAATAATAGTCTTCACAAAAAAAAAAAAAAAGTAGGAAGAAAGCTGGAATATAAAGCACATAGTCTGGACTATGGGGGCAAAAACATCATGAACCTGAGCTCTTAATACAGGAGGGCGAATACAACCTGATAGGTATAACTGAAACTTGGTGGGATAACTCCCATGACTAGAATTCAACAATTGAAGGATATAAGCTGTAAACAGAAGGAACAGAAAGGGAGGTGGAGTGACGCTATATGTTAAAGATACATATCTCTGCATAGATATACACAAGAATGAGTTTAGTAGCCCTATCAAGAGTATCTGGATTAATATGAACAGAGGAAGGAATAAAAGGAACATAGTGGTTAGAGTCTATTACCAACTACCCAGTCAAGGAGAAGACAAGGATGGAACTTTTGAAAAGCAAGTTGCCAGTATTTCAAGGAGTCATAATGTTGTCATTACATGAGATTTCAATTTCCCCGATATCTGTTAGGCTGGTGGTTATATTTCACTAGAAGATGGCAGTAGACCTGAGTCAGCACTCTCGCCACATGACCCTTGTGACACAAGGCTTGTGTGCCCATTTCTAAAATGGCGACTGTAACTAAAAAAAGGAAAGTTGACAGCGAGGGCCGCCGCTTCCAGGACAAGTGGAAATTGGAGTATTTTTCAATGAAATACGAAACAACTGTGTCTGCCTAATTTGCCAAGAGACTGTGGCTGTTTTCAAGGAATTCAATATCAAGAGGCACCACCAGACGAAACATGCTAACTACAACAAGCTAACTGGGAACGAAC